TGAAAATATTTGGCGCGATTTTTTTTGTATCCATTTTGACAGTTGCTAGTTTCTGCTAGTAAAAATTTTAATAGCAGAAATTAGCAGAACCAAAAAAGGAAGAGCGTAAGATCGGGAGAGAGCTGCTAGTTTTTTGGGTTTCCAGCAGAAATTAGTGATAATTATCTGTTAAGAAACAAAGCTAAGTTTTTTTTCTTCGTCACAACGAGATGAATAAAATTAGAAAAATATATGCGTCAGTAACGGCTTCTATATGTATTAGTGTCATTTGACGTTGATTTCCCAGCCAGCAGAAAAACGTAATTTTTGCCGACAATGGGATCTCATACAATTCTTCTTATCAAAAAACGTTCAAAATAAGGCGCGGTTACAGAAAAATATTTCAATTTTGATTCGTTTTCGTACTAGAAAACGTTCGTAGACGATGACGTTTCATATGTTCAAAGCTGAACATTTTAAAGCATACATACCTAGTTGGCAGACGCTTCTTTAATTGTTTTCGAACCATGAAAAAGCATCTGTGAAGCACAGAAGGAAAGCCTGAAAAGTGGAAAACCCCAGCGAGCAAAGAAACTTAAATTTTGCCGACAGTGCAGTCTAGTACAATTTTCCGGAAATGAATAGAAAGCGACTACAATTTTCATTAATTCACGTATCCAAGAACGTCCACAAAATAGTGGTGGTTTTCGTATCCGGAAACAAATAGAAAACTACTACAATGATCATTCATTTTCGTGTCCGGAAAACGTTCGAAAAAGATGATGTTATTTGAAAGCAATAATTGTATTTAATTTGTTCAAGCTAAACATTTGCAGAGGAGCGTGTCGCTATTTGTTAGCTTCCAGAAGGTGTCGTGTTCGAATCCCGTCAGGCGCTTCCTTAATTTAATTTAATCTTATTTATTTATTTTTTTAACCATGAAAAAGGATCTGTGAAGTGCAGAAGGAAAGCGTATTGAACGAAAAATTCAATCAGACAAATTTCAGCAAAACAGCCAAAAAAGTACATATCCGTTTCACAAACAATTTTCGATACTTATCGTCGCCTGGGTAAAAGATTGTCGTAAGGGCCATTTTGACGATTTTTAGTGTTTTGTAGATGCAGTTGTCTATTTTGAAATAAGGTCTTTCGATTGGTGTTATCTGTTTTTAGATATATCCTTTAGTTTCCGAAATATTGAATACAATTTCTTCGATAATTTAGGAAAAATTTAGTTAGTGATGCAGTCATATTAAACTAATCAATATCTTAGAAATGGTGTTCTCCATTTTTGCATATATCTTTTAGTTTCCGAGATATTGACTAAAAAAAAGTCGTTAATTTAGTAGAAATTTTTATCACATTTTGTCGTATTTCATACAAAGTGGCTGCCAAATTGTGGACAAATGATGCTTACGACAGAATTTTACTAAAGAAAATCTTTCGTAAGATCAAAACTAATTAACAATAAACATTAAAAATTAAATAATTTAAGAGTTTTAAGAACTAGTAACATTTTTAGAGACTTTGGAAAAAAATCTATCCTTGCGGTTTTGAGAAATTGTATTCTAAGCTTCAATCGCGATTTCCCACAACCTACCGAAATTAAAATACGATAATCTTCTACCCAGGCGACGTTATCTGTACGTACGTTTCTGCCGCACTTTTTAGTGGGAAAACAGATCGTCAAAGTATCCGAAAATGGAATCGGTAAACGGACAAAAATTCGCACCTCATCCACTTTTTTTTACTTTACGGATAAATTTGGTGATTTTTTTGCTGGCTGGGACGGATCGTCAAATGAACAAAAATCCGCATTTCATCCACTTTATTTTCCTTTTCGGTTCCATTTTCGGATTTTTTGCTGGTCGGTTATTCTTGTAGATTCGTGAATGTGTTAGTTTTGTGCACAGTTCGCCGTAGGATATCGGGTTAGACTAACTAGAGCTAAATTCTTGTAACCAGTTACTAACTTGGACCAAACATGCGTGAAGGCCTATTTACATTTAACAATTCGTGTCTGAGGCTGAGCACCAATTGTTCCTTTCTATATATCATTGAAACCAGAAGCAGGTCAAATAGCCCATTTTGCATTACAAAACAAAATCGAGGAACTGGTACATTGTGCACTACATTCAATCCCCTTCGAAATACAATTGCCCTCAACTGTGTTTCTATGGCCCATGATTCTGAGCATTAAATTAAATTTTTTTTGGTTTGTGGTAGGTTAAATTAGGGTAAAATTACCTTCATTTGAGAGAAATACAAGTGCATTACATAAGTACATACGAGTATGTAATGTATGTACTCTTATGTTTCTATTAAATGATTTTTGAGCAATTGAATCTTTCTTTATTCTTTTCACTATATCATAGCATTTCCATATGGTACATACATTTAGGCGTTCCTGAATCACCGAATTCAGTTGGCGCTGTTGACCATACACATGAAGTGTAAGTAAAAGTACTTACATGCATAGATATATGTACATACAGTATTGGACATAAGTTTAAATCTTTTTTAAGATTACAAAAACATTCAACTTTTCACTCAAATTTCAAATTTTTATTTCAGAAGTGTTAGAATTTTTCCGAGTGCACAGTTTTACAGCCCATTCAATTTTAGTCTTATAATGTGCAGGTTTCAAGTGGCTAAAAACGACCGTTGATTTTTTAGAATTTTTTTGTTTGTCGCATTTGCTTCCATATAACGACTAAAAACACAATTTGTTCTTATATGGAAGAACTCGCAACACCTTCGGCGAAAAAAAAACCAACAATCAGGCATAATTTTGATTTTGGCCTGAGACCAGACAATATTGTTTTTAGAGGTGCGCTGAATTTGAATGCTTCATTAGATTTGCTTCATTATCCAAGAATTTCGAGGTATTCAAACCTGACTATGCAAAATCAGATTTTTCTGCTATATGCATTAGGTATATACATACCTAAAAAATTACACCAACAAATTGTACGCTTAATGACAGTATGAATTACAACAAACACATCATTTTGACGTTTTGATTTCCATGGCGAAAAATTCAGCTGTCGCCCCCACACCACCCTATTTCCTTACCGAATTCACCTTGATTGCTACTTAACACACTTTTTTTCAAGGCGAATTCACATAAGGTGGTGTTATCAGAGCAGCTGATTTCAAGGCGAATTGCGCAGACTGCCAAAATGATGTGTTTGTTGTAAATTTTTTTCGTTCTGATTGTCATCGCGCGTCTAATTTAGTAGTGTAGTTTTTTGTTTTTGTGCTGGCGCTACCAACTTGTATGAATTCGCCTTGCATTTTTTTAGAAATCTCGATGTGCGATTTAAAAAAATTACTCTTTCCCTTCAAAATGTTTTTTAGTTTATTCTGATATGTTTTTTTTTGTACCGGAGGTATTAATAATAATAATAGATTGGCGCTTACACATACAGTGGCCGAAATATTTATATAAAAATGTAGTTGATTCTAAAAATCTTTCTAGGCTTTTTTTATAAAAAATAACCAAAATTGTCAAAATGTGGTGCGGCTATAACTATTTCCACCGCTGTACGTTAGTATTTGGCCGAGTTTCTCCGCCGATTTGTGGCGTGCGCCTTGATGTTGTCACACAATGGGGAGGGTCCTACAGTTTTACGCCGACTCCCAACTGGGAGGTTTGCCATTGCCTGCCGAGGGGCGACCGCTATTAGAAAACAACTTTATTGTTTTTTATTTGTTTGATGTTTGGTTGAACTGTACTTGAACCCAGGCCCTGCGAAAGGTAGCGCGCACTACTAGCCACTACATCACAGCGATTATGTGGCTGAAAAACAACAAAGCTTCTGGAGCTGACGGTCTGCCAGTCGAGATATTCAAGTACGGCGGCGAGTAGCTGATAACTCTTATGCGGAATATGGTAAGATGAACGCATGCCCGACGACTGGAATTTAAGTGTGCTTTTGCCCAATCCACAAGAAAGGCGACCCTGCCATACACGCCGACTACCGCGAGCTCAGCCTTCTTAGCACCACCGTCAACGAACTTATTGGGCCTTATGAGTGTGGGTTTAGACCTGGAAAATCCACCATAGACCAGGTATTCACAATACGGCAAATCTAGGAAAAGACCCGCGAGAATAAGGTCGACACATACCATCTATTTGTCGATTTCAAAGCCGCTTTCGACAGCACGAAAATAAGTTGTCTTTATGCCTCGTTGTCTGAATTTGGTGTCCCCGCGAAACTAACACGGCTATGTAAAATTACGTTGAGCAATACCAGCTCCATCAGAAATGGGAAGGATCCTTCCGAGCCGTTTGATACCAAACGAGATTTCAGGCAAGGTGACTCCCTTTCGTGTGATTTCTTTAATGATGTTTGAGAAGATAATAAGAGCCATGGAACTGAACCGCTCAGGCACAATACTTTACAAGAGCGTACAATTTCTGGCGTATGTCGACGACATCAACATTATCGGTAATCAAAAAAAGGGCTACGTCTGTTCTGCCTTCTCGGGATTATGTAGAGAAGCAAAGGGAATGGGTCTAGTGGTGAACGAGAACAAAACGAAGTATCTGCTGTCAGTATAAGCATCTTGGCATTCACGTTACCGTTGACAGTTACAAGTTTGGAGATGCGAATTTCGCAGACGATCTTATGATGAGCAGGTTTACACCATATAGACATTGTGCAGCGATTCAAAATTTGGCGGCTTCGCTGGCTAGGTCATGTCGTTCGAATGGAGAGAAACGCTCCTGCTCAATGCGGGTCGCAATGCTGGAAACAGAGGAAGCAGAAGGCCTCCTCAGTGTTGGCAAGACCAGGTGAAGACGGACTTGGCTTCACTTGGCATTTCCAATCGGCGTCAGTTGGTACAGAAGGGAGACGGCTGGCGTGCTGTTTTGGATTCGACCAAAATTGTTTAGGCGATTACAGCGCCAATAAGGAAGAAGGGGAAGATATCAAAAATAAAGATTTCATTAAGAAAGTCTGTATACATACATACATACATAAAAGAAAAATTAAAACACAAGTCGGTATTATTTCAATATCAAAAAGGTCTTTAGCCGACTACTTGAGGATACTTTATTTACCAATCACACGTTTTTTACAGCAAATACAACATATCCCATTTATTTTAATAAAAACAGTTTATCTCTTTATGATCACAGTTGTATAGATGGTTTATATTGCACTTCGTTTCAATGCATAAATGTTGATGATTCACTAACTAGCCGAGATTGGATAGCTCCTCAGGTGCGACGGTAACATAAAATACATTTCTTAGGGATTTTGTACAAGATGCATTTATGTATGTCTCTTAACGTGTCTTATTAACGTGTTTACGTGCACTAACTACTACATATTTATGTATGTAAACTTATTTTTTGTATGTATAAGTATATTTAATTAGGTACTTGCCACGAATTTCAGACACTACTTTCTTCACTATTCGCTATAGGAAATATTAGACTAGAACATTTGCTAGGGGGACTCGAAGTAGGTAGTGAATCTAGTTGATTTGCATTATTTTGTATTTGTAAATGCGATGAGGAGGAGGCTGGAGTAGCAGCAGTAGTTGGTATTGTAGTCGTTGTTGTTGTTGCATTTGTGTGCACTGGCACTGGTCGTGCTATCCGAATATTATAATTATTCAGCGCCGGATAAACGCACCCCTTACGTTTGTTTGATTTCTCTCCCAGCTGGGCAATTAGTGGCAAATCCTCAGTGCGGGTGAATATAAACTCTTCGGATGACAATCGTTTGCGTATGCGGCCACCAATTACATCGCGCCTCATTTGTTGTGTTGAGTCGGCATGCGATTGAGGAGTAGACTCAGGGGATTGATTTTTTTTCGCGACACCTGCAGTTTGTGCACTATTATGGTGCGCTGGATGGCAATCAGGTTCATACACCGGAAAATGAGATTCGAGTACACCCGGTCGTATGACGAATGTCTCCTCGGTGACACTTTGGCACTCAGAGTTGCCATTAGAGGCGGTTTTGTTACAGCAAATGGACCTACCAGGCGTCGAGAATTGTTCGATGGACGAGTTTGCGCTATAAAAAGTAGTTTCACCTGATCCACTATTCCTTTCTTTGTTCAAACCTACCATTAAGCATTGGCTGTGCTCCACGCGCTGGCAGCAATCAACTTTAACTTCACATCTCACATCCAATCGGCATGGACAATTAGGGCATTGCCCCTGGCAATCTTCATTTAGAATTTCACTATCACTAAAAGTTAGTTTCTTAGCAGGATGCTGAGCTTGCCTTTGTTCAGTAGTATCACCATCTAATGGATCCGCTGACTTTGAACTCTGCTTAGATTGGAGGGCATTGGCACCAATAGATTCCTGTACAGGAGCGGCTTTAAGTTTCGACTGAACTCGACTAAGACTCTGTGCCGATTCGTAACTATCGTCACTTGAATCGAAGCTTGATTGCTGATTGTTATTATTATTATTATTAATATAGCTGTCGCCAAAGATGGGCGGCAATGTGACAAACACTCGGCCCATTCGCTTGTATTGATCCAGATTGCGACTGTCCTCTGCGCATGTTGACAGGTTTTCACTGAACTTGGGCGCTCGCCGCATTATTTTAGGAGTATGCATTTGTGATTCAAAAATGTCTCCGAGCATCGGTCGTGCGTTTGCATTATCGCCGCCGCTTAAGTTCAAGTTATGCAAATACCGTTCTATGCTGTTAGCCAAACTAATAGGTGCACTTGTGCGCGACGAGATGCTTGAGATCTCCGATAACGTTTCGGGACTAGCTAATGGCGCTAAACCGAGCCAGTCATCATGCAGCAAATCGATTGGTCGCGACGCATCCGAAGCCCTACGCAATGCTGTTATGGGCAGATTACGCTTCCGCTTATCGGCACGCGCCGAATATTGACGATATAGATTAACTTTGGATGCAGCTTGCGGGGACGCCAATTTTATTGGCATACCAAAATTGCTATCAATGTCGAAAGCAACAGCCTTCAGGCGGTGGATAGGTAATTGATCTGGATAATTAATGATCACTGTGGCAGTTTCGCTCGGTACTGAAGGACTTCGACGCGTTACGGTTGTTATACTCTCATCCACTGATATGTCATACTGAGCTGAACTCAGCTGACTCCGACCGAAAATGCTGCCTGCAATCGATGATGTCTTACTAGAATTTGGTCCAGCAACATACTGCGCAGCTATCGTTTGTATATCCAGGGGGGCTTGTAAATTTGCAAAAGAGGTTTCATGGCAAATTTTGTGCTGTGTTGTTGGTGTTAAGTTTATGGAGCTGCTTATGTTAGGAAATGAGCTGTGCGATAGTTGCTTATATTGGTTGCTTTCAAGTTTTAAAACGTTTATTGGATCTATAGAACCGAGAGAAGATATTCGCTCGACTTCAAAATCATAAGGATTGTAGTCGTTAGATATGGTCGAGAATGCATTTGAAGTTTGACGTTGCGGTTTGCGTGGTCCACTGGTGGTTACAACCTACGACAGAAAACGAAGATATGTATGTGTGAAGCGTTTTTAATTTGTTCGGATCTGGTCCAAAAATTAACCAAAACGACAAATGAAGAAGCAAACGAAAAAATTGCATCGAAATCATAGCCATTAAAGCATTTAGAAAATAAAGAGTGGGGCGTGCAAACAACCCGATCGTTTGACTCGATCTATATAACTGCATACATGCAATACATACACGCTAGCAAAAAAAAATAATAATCACTACCAGAGTAGTAAGCGATTTAGTAATGTATTCGTGGCTGGAAACAAGGAGTTTTCTTTATAAAAATTATATATTTTTTGTTCTTATTCACAAAAAAAAAATGTGCTCATTACTTCCTATGGGGCAAACTTTCTACTGAAAATACGGTAGTGAGTTGGTAATAGATTTTGTGTTAAAAACAAGTAATTTGTAAGCAAAAAAAAACAAAACCGACTTGAAATTCTCATATAAAAATTTAAGTTTATCGTTAATTTCTTCATGATCCAGTGACCGGATTTCAACCAAATTAGCATGGGACCACCTGTGAGGTTACACCTTTTCTTTAAAAAGAATTATAGAAATCGGTTAACGAGTTCCAAAGTTATGCGGTAACATACATAAAAAAGTTAAAAAAATATATTCCAATGAATTGATACCCTTCTTCTTTTTGTGAAGTTGGTTAAAAAATAAAAATAGATTGGCCCCTGAGGATTATAACGAGTCTTAGCGAAACGTAGGGCAAAGCAGTAAAGAAAAAACGTTTTTTTTTACTTGCACTAAACACTGGGGCATTCGATTATGCGTCTTTTTTCCAAAACAAGCTTTCGAGTTATTCGAAAAATTGCAATTGAAAAAACACCGGTTGCCTATTTTGAAATTAAGAAAAAAAACGGTTTTATTTTACAAAGCTCATTAAAACTAACAAAATAAAAAACGATATGTCGTGACTTTAAAGCGAAATATTTTTTGTTTGTTCGTATTGGTTTCCTGAAAATTGATGTTTTCTCGTCACGAAAGACTTCGTGTTTTCTTAAATATAATTCAGTCAGTTCCCGCGAATTCATATAAGGTGGTAGCAATAGTAAAAAGCAAAAAAACAAAAAAAAAAAACAAATGGATGTACAGTAAAACCTCGATATAACGAAGCTGAATTGGTTTGACTTTGTTATATCGTTTCGTTAAATTTATATAATATGAAAACCTCGATACAACGAAAAATTAAAAAATTTATAATTTAATAATTTTTTTTTTATAACGGGACTTTTCAAAATATTTCGAAGGTTTTCATGGTCCAAATAGCATCGTTATAACTATAGAGCATTTTTGTATAGAAAATTTCGCACATCGTTGTTTTCTGTTGTGTTTAAAAGTGTTAAAATAAGAATAACTCAACTTGTAAGGAGTAAGTAGTTACCCGTTTATTCAATAAACTGTGTCAAGATAACACTTTAAACAAAAATTCCATCAGCTATTCGTCTGAATTGCAAGTTTCTGCAAATTTTCTGTTGGCTTACTATTCTGGATATTTTTCTCTTGGGAGAGAACAGATGACATTTCGGTATTTTTTACTGGAGGTTTTAAACGAACGTACCTATTATGGAGAAATATGAAATCTTGACATTTGTGTACCAAGCAAGGCAAATCAAATCATCTGGGCTAGTAACAGAACAGCAGTGTGATATAATTTCGGTATCGGTCAATAACGGTCGTTAGTGAAATGCAAATAGCAGGAAAATCACTACATACCAAGGTACATTGAACAGGTAGTATCAGTAGAGCAGCTGATTTGATTTATTTTCAAATTATTTGGTCTCGAAAATGTCAAATATTTTTAATTTTTTCTCACGAAAATTATAAGTTGTTAAAATCCATTTGCTTGTGAAACCTTTTTCCATACAAAACAAGCGATTGAATAGCAGCTTTTGGAACGTTCGCCCAACTCGGCAGCACGACCGCTGATTACTGGGCCTTGCAAAGGATGGATCAATGCTTCGAGAAGCAAACAAATTTACTAGCATCAATTTTTATTTTTTCCAATTTCAATTTTTTATTTTTTATAATTTTTTGTATTTCACATGGCACGCTTTGATTTAGAAGAAAAAATTCAGAACAGTTTTTGACACTTTCGATACCAGAAGCAACAACAAAATACACGCAAATGTTGTTTTTGCTCTACTGATACTACCTGTTTAATGTGCCTTGCTACATACGTTGTTTATGAAAAAGATACCTGTTTGAATGTGTGTGTAAGAATATACTATAGTTAAGCCGAATGGAAAAAAAAATATAATAATTGCCAAAAATGTGTTTATTTGTATGTACAACTGATCACCTCATATTCATGGGTATGTGAGCCCGTAATGCATATAAGTGATCGGCTCACACCCATGAACATTTGAGTCATTAATGGACCCAACTAATTAAGTCGTGGTTCTAGGGGTGCGTTATGATATGATAGCAAAGTTGAGGGCTTCATTGCTAACTCTTTGATGTAATTTCATTTTTTATTACATTTTGCTACTAGATACATACATACATAAATTAGAGTTTGTGTCATCACTAAAGAGAGCAATTAAAAATTAAGCAGAATTGAAAGTTGTGAAAAAATTTCAAAAGATATACATACATACACACATAATTTTATTTGTAGATATGATTTTTATAAGGATTGAAGCGAAAGATCGGAAAGCTTTCTTTTTGTTTAGGGGCGCAAGATTGCGTAAAACGATAGACAAGCAGACATTCCTACGTGTATATATACACTATAGAGATTGTATACATATATGTATGTATATGAGATAAAATTGTACAAAGATACATATAGTGTATGTATGTAGGAAATAGGAATACAGCTGAACTATGCAAGTTAAAAAATCAGATTATATAATTGTTGTAAATAATAATACCTTGTATTGCAGCGAATCGACACTACAAGTACGATCTGATTTTCATGCCTTTGCGGAGCGATTTTCATTTTGCACGACCTGCAGAGTAATGGTGTGCAGTTAATTTAGGTGTGCTGAAGGATTGCTTAGATATGTAGGTACAAATAATACATACACTCACATATGCAGGTCCATACAAATACACAATATAAATATGCAAAAGATTCTAATTGCAATTTTTTTTATAGAAATATCTTAAAGACAAACATATGTACATATGTATGTATGTATGTACATTTTATTTATTTATTTCATACGTTTATGCTTCTTCTGTCCATTGAGGCCTTTTGCGTTGATGAAAAAGATATTTGGCATTAATAAGATATGTAATTACATACATACATACATACATTTGAAATCACTTATAAACTCGTAACTCGTAACACAATTCAGAAGATATTGCATTTAAGCGCACATACCTACATACATATTTACATATGTACATGTGGGTGGATGGAATTAGGACCGCTTGAATTACTTGATCACTTTTCAAAATGAATTCTGCCTGCGCAAAATTACTGTGGATGGCGTAGCCGGAGTTGGACTGATGAGGGTTATTTTTTTCCAAGCGCGTCCGAAAATCGCGAAAACCTGAAAGGTGTTCTGCACAAAAATACTGTGGTCAGCTTAGCTGGCGTCTACATTTTATCTGTCAAAATATTAGTTTTAACCCAGTTTCAAATGGGTTTCCCAGGGGCTTGTAGAAGGAAAGGGCAACTTTTCTTAAAGCTTCAACTGTGCTCATTCTTTAGGTGCCAAACTCCCTCCCCCTCCCTCCGTCCCCACCACAAAATCATTGTTCAAATAACCGAACACAAGTGAACCCGCATGGCGTTAAAACGCCTAAAATTTAATTTTAACTTTTTAAACAGGTGAAACTCTATTCAAAAAAGTCAAAAAATATTCCTAATGGTTTATATTTTTAACTTTATCGTCTAGTATTGTGATACATATTTCAATTAACTGATGAATTAAGTTGAATTAGATTTTTTAACACGTGGCAACTCTTCTAAACAGAGTTCAGAAAAAAATTATTTTCAAACCAATTTCAATTGATACCCATCTTTGGCAATCCATTTAACTTATTAAACAATTTTAATTTAATTTTTTCAACAGATGGCAACCCTCTTATGACTCCCTAAAAAATTCTAAATGTTCAAACTTAAGATTTCTGAGCTCTCTTTCGTTAGATACCCATATTGTAAAATTTTATATAACCTGTGTATATTTAAACTAAATTCAACTTTCAAAACAGGCGGTCACCATCTTCAATTTTTTTTTTGAGCTTAAATCTCCTTAAATACTTCAAGTAACTGAGCAGTTAAGCTGAATTTAATGTTTTATACACGTAGAGTAAATGTTCAGAAACAAAGGGTTTTAAGCCCATTTCGTTTGAAAACCATCTTTTAATAATTCATTTAACTTATTAAATAATTTGAATTTGCCACCAGGGCAACTCTCAAACACATTAAAAATACTCTAAATTGTTAAACTAAAGACTTCTTAAAACTCTTTCACTCCACACCCATTTATAATATTTCCTATAACTTGGGTTTAAATTAATTTAATTCGACTTCTCATATAAGTGGCGAACCTCTTCAAAATACCTTCTTAAATCTCTTTTGTCTGACACCCATATGGTGATTCCTAATTTTTTTATGAAAATTTCATTAAATTTTAAACATATGGTAGCCCCCCTACACGTAATTAAGATATAAAACCTTTTCAACACCATTTCGGTTGATACCCATATTGTAACAATTGATTTAACTAATAATTTCAGCATAACTTCTTAAAAGGTGGCAACTCTGTTCGAAGAATTAAAATCCTATTGCACATCTACAGCTCAGGCCCTTTATTTTGACACGTCACTTTTCAAAATCGGACGAACAGTGCAGATCTGATGACCTGGACAAAAAATCCCTTCGCGTCCCAGTAGATAATTTCAGGAGTTAAAAGCCCTTTCGTACATAGATTCCCAATTCATTTTAGGATCGCCGCCTAATTTCACTTTTCAAAATGAATTAAAACCGCGCGGCCTAATTTCACATTTTTTGATTGCGGTCTAAATGCACGCGGCCATAATTCACTGTGCCGCACATGAGTATATACATACATACATATGTATACATATATGTATGTAAGTATATGTACATACAGTTGGTATGTAGGATATCTAATAAATGTAAGTATGGTAGATGTTAATAAGCTCAGCAGCCCCAAGCATTTTGTTCTTTAATTTAGACATAATCATGTAAAGCATTTTGGGGGTTGGTAGTTACATGCGCCACGACGTCATTTCAATGCATCTCTTAAACGAGGAAAACATAAAACAAACAAGTAAATTTTAAGCAAAAAATACAACCGACTTCAATGCTTGTATACAAATTTAGAAGTGTCGTTAATTTCTTTATGATCTTAGGATCGGAACAAAACCAAATTAATATGGGATCACCTTTCCGATAAAAACAAAAGAATTATCTAAAAGATCCAAGCCAAAGTCATCCGGCAGGATACATAAAAAAATATACATATATATTCCAATTAATTCTTAAGCTTCCTCCTTTTTTTTGAAGTCGGTTAATAAATATGTGTACAACTTTATTGTTAAATATATGTATGTATTTTCTTGCTAAACAATGAAACATTTTATATAACATAATAAATAGGAAACTTAAATATAAAACATAAATTACATACAATTGAAAAAGGGAATGAACAACGTGAAATTAAGTTTATATTTAATATCGAAAGATTTTCTTTTTGAAGAACATATATTAGAAACTTAACATACATATTCGAATACGATACTAATCACTTGATAGAATGCGTTTTGCATGAGTTAACTATACATACATACATACATACATACATACATCAAAATAAAACAATCAATAATAACAGGGCAAAAGGAATCCTGGCTTTTAAGCATAGGCAAGCATTTCATTTGACTTAAATAATAATATACTGTGTGGCTACAATAAATAATACAATTATCTTTTTAAATATATCTACGAATCAGTACTATTCAAAGAGGAGTTGCTATCGTTAATGATGCCGGCAATTACCTTTTTGAGTGCCGCCAGCACCTTGTCCGGCATGTGATCCTGCAGCATTACTGGCGATATGAGAACCTCATCGAAATCGCAGGTATCAGCCCAGATGGCCTGATAAACCGGCTCGTGGCTCTTAAGAACACTTCTGCAATTGTAGAAGACAAGTAAATATGTATATATAAATACAAATGTATGTACAAGTATCGAGAGTTGAAGCAGGCTTGCAAAAGGAATGTATGTATGTATGTTAATTAGACCTTGCCGGAAAAAAAAGTTCGCCGTACACCCCTGAGTGTGAAGTGTTTTTGTCGGAAAATTTCGATTTTTTTTTTGTCAATTTTATTGTGGCTTATTAATATTTATTTCCATGGTTTTATTGAACTTCGTACCATTTCCATTCTTCCTAAAAAACAAACGCGCTACAAAGCTCAATAACACTATTGAAATAAATTCGATTTATTTTTTTGTTTGGCCGAACGTACCGGTTGGCTTTTTAAATTTTTCGTTACATTTACATTTCGTTAGGCATGCTCGGTGAAAAAAAAATAAATAAAAAAGTGTTGCGATATTTCTCTTGCAAAAATAAATACTTTGAACTCAGGGGTATACGGCGAAATCTTTTTTTGTAAGGTGGTATGGGCTAATGAATATATGTTTGTACTACATACATACATACAAATGTTATATCGACACCTGAGTGGAAAATCGATCTATCCGGCAGCCAGCTCGAAAACGCCCTATCTCAGAAAACTTTTCAAGAACGCCCTACTTCCGAATTTGATTAAAGAACGCCCTTTTTCAGAATTTTATTGAAAGACACCTTATCTTAGAATTTGCCTGCAGATGGCGCTATTTCAGAATTCGGTTCAAAAATGACTTATCTCAAATAAAAATGCACTGAAAATGTGCTGAGATAGGGCGTTCTTCGACCAGATTCTGAAATAGGGCGTTCTTGAAAAGTTTTCTGATATAGGGCGTTTTCGAACTGGCTGCTAAAATAGGTCGATCTTCCATTCAGGTGTCAATATGTACATGTACATACATATAAGCACTTATAAGTATCAAATAGGCATTGAAAAGTTTTAAATATCTGGAAGAAATTTTGATATGTGCTACTTTCATAATCCGGTTTTCCTACACTTTCCTACTTGGGTTCTATTTAAATACATATCTACGTACGTATTTCATGCTTGAAAATCATGCAAATCTACAATTGATATTACATAGTTACACTAGCCAACAAAGTTGCGTGGTACATCAATTATATTGGACTTTTTGTAAGGAAATAAAATAGTACTTAAGAAAGCAATATAATTAAATTTTTTCTGTTCTTTGATCTAAAAGCACATTATTTAAGATATGGGTATGTCCTATTAAAAGGCTTTAATTCCATCTCATAATTAAGTATTTTAAAAATCAGATTCTGACTCTGCGCACCAATCAATCCTGCCGCATTGATTGTTAAAGTTTTGTCGGCCGTTGTTATCTATCAGCAACGAGTTTTAAACAGAAAAGGGAAAGCTAACGTAATAAAAGTATTTAATTTGTAAATTATAACTACACCACTTGTTAAAATTATAAGCGTACCACATATTTACAACTTTTCGCGATTAATTTTTTCTTATTTTTTTTATTTTTATTTTTTTTTAATAGTTTATTCTTTAAACAAAACCTTATTAATTCAAGCTTTCAACTTTGTGCAATATTAAGAGAAAAATAAACAAACTTTCGTAAAAATTTCACACTTTTAGACACACTTTGAGTATCCAGTTTTGTGGCCCATATAATTTTAGTATAAGAAAGAGCAAATTTGAGGTAGCTAGTAATTTTTACCCTACCGTTGAATATTGTCAATTTTCAACACTCAAAAACCCTCTAAGAATTCTAACCCAAAAGCTTGAAATTTTGACGAACGTTCATTATTTTTATTTTTTTAGTTAAAAACTAGTATTTATACAGTTTTTATTGAAGTATAAACTATATTTTTATATAAAAAACTAAAAGTAAGTAACAAAAAAGAAATAATTGTCAATATGTTGTGCGCTTATAATTTTGACAAGGGGTGTACAATACTCGTATTTATAGGTACACAAAATTTATTTTAGATATATGTATATTTGTGATATTTCACACAAAATAGAGACCATGCGGAAAATTCAATTCATGCATTCGTTAATTGTAGGTTAACTTTTGTTAATCAAAGGCCTACCTCCAACCGCTGTCGAACTTTTGCCTGAAATGCATACGATAAATGAACTGTATTGAAATTCTTTTTTTATACATATGCAATACAATTACAATATTTACTGATTTAAAAAAAACACATATAATATGCATATCTAAAGGTACACGATTCGAGCGCTAGAACTGTTATATTACGCCATTTCTTACTTGTTATGTTCGTCAAATAAATGGCATTCTGTGTAATTCATATACTCGTATTTACTATGTACTAAATATATGCTATTTTTTTAATTTTTTATATTATTATTTTTTAGTTTTAATAGAAAATCCATAAAACTTTCCTTCAAAACTAAACGTATCCATGATGGTACCTAATTTAAAGTTCTATGTAGTGTTCGAGTCACTATAATGGTTCAGATTGCTCCGAAATTCACTTAATAAAGGTAACTTGCTCTCATTTGGGCAACATTATCAAAATATACAAATTTTGAAGCTTTCAATCTGAAGGATTTTCAATTTGTACCATAGATACAATTTTTCGAAGTAACCTGGACCCTAGGATATTTTCACTAGATACATTAGTACATATGCTGTTGCTGTTTTCCAAGCGAATCATAAAATGTTGTCGATTCTACAACTCTCGCAAAGATATATTGTGGTTGTTTACGCTTACCTGGTTATCTGTTGCGGTACAACAATAAAATACGCTACAGAAAATTTATTTTTAAGCAGACAACCTGATAACCAGGCAAGCGTGAACAAGCACATTGTCTTAATCCGGTTTTATTCGTAAGCTAGAGGGCCTTAAAAGCGCCTCGAAAACTCGTGTTTTTTTATCAAAATATCTACATACATATGTATGTATGTATAATTGGAAATAATTTTTCTTGTAGCCTTGATAGAAAATAATACAAATTTAAGAGGTCTGCATCAGGGGTAGGAAAATATCTGTCAACTTTTTACGACTAACCCAGTTTTTACAGAAAAAATGCGTGGGTATTTTCGAAACAGTGGGGCATATTCATAGTCGAAATAAAGTCGTTTCTAAAGTAAGTTGCAGCTTTTTTGACTTTGAGAATTATCTCAAAATGATGTCACTAACCTTGGTTTCAGAGGTGTCATTAAAAAGATATGTAATTACGAAATTGAATGAAATTGCATGTATTTAAAATTTAATTATTTTGAACATGTGGCAGAATTTTCGGTAAGACTTTAATGCACGTTCCTTAAGTTTTACAAAATATTTTTTTTTTTCATACAAAAACCGGTATTTAAGGACCCTTTCAATGCGGCCCAGCTTTCAAATGTCGCTGAGTCCAGCCCAAATAGTTATGTAAAAGTTTTAAAATTGATCAATTTTTTTTTAATTCGAAGGGAGCGAGGGATGTTGATTATTAACATAAAAAGGGCAAAAATACAAAATTTTAAACTAACTATATTAAAAGTTTGGCTTTTGCTTGGTCTTAACGTTAAACATTAAACCTGTAAACGAGTTCTTGTTTTAGGATAGCTAAGATATTTTATACATCACTCATGGTTTTAGCACAATTATGTTATTTATAAAAAAGCGTATACCATAAAAAATATACATTTTAAATAAGCCGCTTTCGATTTGCCAACCAACTATCGACATGCGAATGAAACAGCAATTCGCTTAGATCGCATTTTTTTTTTTAACTAAACTATTTCGTCGAAGTTTGAGCAAAACTGGAACTATACCCATATTTGTGTCAACAATTAGTTAGCGAAATCGTGCAATATGCCAACTTATATTCGAAAGCACTGATTTAAGCAACTTACTTACAGCTCGAGTAGTTACATTTGTACACACTACATATGTGCATACATACATACATAACTACATTTGGCGCGCAACACCTCGCGTACGTTAAATGCAATCGAGCGTATTATTTTCGTTACTTTGAATGAGGGCTGCTACAAATATTTTGCGTTTCACAATTAAGCCAAATTTTTAACATCGTTAGTTAGTTCAAGGTTTTCTAAATATTCTCCAAACAGCTTTATACATACATTTATGTCGTGGCTTTTCTTTTTGCTCCAGAGTAAAAGTGTAAATGTGATGATTAGTAAGTTCATATAGAAAACTATTAAACATTTATGGAAAAATTTTTTTTTCGGATCAAGCGACGAAGCGAATCAATGGTGGGAGTAGCATATCGAAAGCAGCTATAGTAGAAATAATCAATTTGCACCCATAAAACACAAACTTACTCTTCAGGTTTTGGATGGTGTCGAACTATGTGAATTATTCGGCCAGGTGGGTACAGAGGCTAAAAAACGGTAGAAAATAATTATACGAATTTTCTTATATATGTGCATGTATGTAGATGTACATAAGTATGTACTTGAAAATAATTGATTCGCGGTTACCTGGTGTAATGTCAAGGCAATAGAGCTGTCTGTGGGATGTGCACTTGTTGAGCGAGCAGAGTCTCTTTGCTGGTACGCCATGAAAACAAAAGAATAAATGAATGCATATACAGTGTTAATTCGCAACATTCTAAAGTGTATTTTTGTTACCTCTTGGTATTGATTAATATGGATATCTTTGCCGGACATCTCAACAACAGATGTGGGTTCAGCTCCACAACCACAACAAATAACGGAGCAGGATATTGTTTTCCACTGGAAATATAAATTCAAATATAATAATATTTAATATCACTTAATTCTTCAACTGGTAAGAGTAAAATACAAAATTTATTTACTCACTTTCGGATCTACACTTCGTTGAATTGCATTGATTAGGTCAGCACGCAAAGCTTCCATCTGATGTAATCCGATGCGAGGTACTACATCCTTCCCCAACACAACGGATGTGATAAAAGATTTCGTGTATTCAACCGCAGGCATACTTTAAAATTGATAATTAAGATTTACTAATGGCACATACATATGTATAAATTTCGTATCGATCAGTAGTTACCTAAGCAGCCCACCTGG